TTTTGGTGACAAGGTTCAGACAAATAAAAACAGCAGAGAATCGTGTAAGGAACCCACCCATGATAGCCACTGCCCACCACATGACATAAAAAGTTACAAATGCCTTGGGGAACGTTTTTGAAAAGCTAGAATGGACTTCAAGAGTGGTGGCTGTCGCTGGAGGGCATCCTTTCTGCTTTAGTGTCACCTGATGCAAAGGGTGACGGCTTGGGCGTGTCAGCCGATAGATCAGCCCAAATCCCTTGGCTTGAGCAAATGTTTTTTTGAGCGAATGTTTTTTATTACTTTCAGCGAGGAAGGAGACAGGGAGATAGTTCTCAAAGCACTGTCTCCTCTAACACAAACTTCAGAGCTGCTTATACTGCCAGCCGCACCATTTTGTCCAGTTATTCTTGCAAATAGGTAGCTGGTCACAGGAACTTGGTAAACTTTGTAATCTTTCCAGCATGGCTTACAAGGGGTTAGCTTAACTACAATTTCCCAGGAACATTTATGATCTGTGTTCCCAGGCATCTACTCTCTCTCTCTCTCTTTTAAAAAATTTCTTTAAGTTTATTTATTTATTTTGAGAGAAAGGGAGAGAGAGAGTAGAGAGTAGAGGGTGCACACGCACGCGCGCGCGCGCGCGCGCGCGCACACACACACACACACACACACACACACACGTGGGGGAGGGGCAGAGAGGAGAGAGATCCCAAGCAGCCTCCCAACCATCAGTGCAGAGTCTGATGTGGGGCTCCAACTCACGAACCATGAGATTGAACCATGAGATCGTGACCTGAGATCAAGAGTCAGACACTTAACCGACTGCACCACCCAGGTACCCAAGGAATCTACTCTCCCGAGTAACTTTGGAGGGTTCCCAGGAACAGTGAGGTCCTCAAGGACTCGTGAAGCTGAAAACAAATATGCTGGAGAAACAAGATAGTTATTTTCTCACTGATGAGACATTAGGTCCCTGATGTGACCTTATTCCTAACTAACATTAGCAGCGGGTGTAACAGCTTTTCTCAACACTCAGAGCCCATGCCTGGTTTTATAAGGTCTTGTCCACCAGCCTGATCTCACCTGGCCCCTGACACAATGGACCTTAGGTCTAAATGGAGAGGCACCTCAAATTGGGGGCCTGCATTGGCTTATTGGAATTGTCATCCTCCAGCACAGTGCTTTTTCTGCTGGTCTCTGGGAGCCTGAGACAAGACTTAGGTTCCTTAGCTCTGAAACGTGTGTAGTTCCTTCTGAGACCACTTTCACGGTCAGATTCCTAAATCCGTCACGGGTTTGTCTTCTCCTCTTCTGAGCTGGGGTTAATGCATGAGACATGACAGTTTGCTGCCTTTCTTGTGCCTAGTTCTGCAGAGTTAATAAATGGCAAAATTGCTTGTAAAGCTGTTGAACTTTGAGAGAAACGACAGTATTTCACATCACTTCATGATGTCGTTGGTTTTTTTTTTCTTTTCTTTTCTTTTTTAACTTGTACTTCTGTACAGGGACAAGAACTGCACAGCTATCTGGGAAGCCTTTAAAGTGGTTCTGGACAAGGATCCCTGTTCTGTATTTCCCTCGGACTATGACCATTTTATTAGCCTCTCCAGACACTCCATTCCCAGGGACAAGGTAAAATGTTCTTCTCTGTCTCTACAGAGATAGTGCCTGGGCCAGTATCTGTGACCCTGTGGGACCCTGTTTCAGTATCACCAAAAAATCAAGCAACAAACTCACCTGAGCTCTCTGATGGGAAGGCATCTTCACTGGTAATCCTGGGTCTCCTGCCTGTCTGGGCAGAAGGGACTTTCCTAGGTCAACAAGTCTGTGCAGGAATCACCACATTAGGACGTTGCCACACCTTCTTCCTGGGCCTCTGCCCCGAACCAATTCTGAATAACCTGTGTCCCAACTGGCCCCATTTGGTCTGAACTTTGAGGGACTCAGAAAGGCTTTAACCTCAATATCTTCCCAGAAGACTGATCCCTCCTTTTATTATTATTATTATTATTATTATTATTATCATTATCATTATTATTTTAATGTTTATTTATTTTTGAGAGAGAAGGAGAGACAGAGTGTGAGCAGGGGAGGGGCAGAAAGAGAGGGAGACACAGAATCCAAAGCAGGTTCTAGGCTCTGAGCTGTCAGCACAGAGCCTGACACAGGGCTCAAACTCACAAACTGTGAGACTGTGACCTGAGTCGAAGTCAGATGCTTCACCAACTAAGCCACCCAGGTGCCCCCTGATCCCTCATTTTAAGGAACCTTAAGATTCTATCTGTTCAGTACCATTAAGAAAACCACATGTCTATGTTCTGAGTTATTTTTTTTTTTTTTTATGTTTTGAGTTCTAATAAAATCAAAATAAATGAGAAAATCTACATAAAATGCTTGCTTAGAACAATACCTTGAGTTTAAAGAAAGATACCTTTATTGTTTCTCTGACAACATAATTCTTAACCTGATTTTTCATTGTAAAATCAGGTAACAATAATGTTTACCAATGAGAAAATCTTAACATCATTTCTGATAGAGCTGGAAGGTTCAGTGATATAATAGATTGAAAATAGGTTGCATTTTGCACCTTGCCAGCTCCCTGCCAGTAAAAAGAGGAACGATGAATTTTGTTCTTTCTTTGGTGCTAGCTGATGAACTCAGGAAATAGTTCCCAATTTACTTCCACCTGCTGAACATTGTGCTAAGGCAACAAGTGGACAAAGTGCAACAGAGAACAAAACAGCCCCTCCCCCAGGAACCTTCCAGTCTGGGCATAGACCAAGTGGACTACTAAGGATCTAATGAGATTATGAGCGGGATATCGTTATTTGTATTACTGTTGTGTGAAAACACCGTAGCTTGACGGTGGAAACTGTAAAACATAATATAAAAGTCACATATTTCTGAGGCACTTTATGCTCTGGGAAGTGCTTTTTTGTGGTTACATATTATCCTGAACACAGCTGTGGTAGAAGAGAAAGGGCTCATGCTCCCCATTTTCCAGATGTTGAAACCGAGGCACAAGGAGATTACATGCTTTGCTCAAGATCACACATCTAGTGTATGAACAGACTCAGGATTCAAACCCAGGTCCTTTGATCTTTTTTTAATCCAGGAAAGTTTATATAAACACTGCTGGGAAAGTATTTTGTTAATGTTTGCCTGATACCCTAGAAATAAGGGGAGTAAATATCGGGATACTCTCTGAATGGGTAAACAGAGACAAAGAAAAAGAAAGTTCAGTTGTCAGGCAAGCTGGAGTTGAATGAGCAATGGACTGCCTGACATGTCTGAAAAAAATCTGCCTTGATTTTATTTTATATGGTAATTTTGTGTTTGCTTTTTCCTTAGTCCCTGTTCTGGGAAAACAACCACCTCCTTGTCACTAGCTATGCGGAGAATGCCCGTCGCTTTATGCCTCTGTGTGATGTTCTGTATGGCAGGATTGGAGATTTTCTGAGCTGGTGTCGACAGGAAAATGCCTCCGGTAAGACTCCTGCACAAACCACAAGAAAAGTATGAGCTCTGGGGGCCTGGCTGGCTCAGTTGTTGGAGCATACAGCTCTTGATTTCAGGGTCGGGTTTGTGAGTTCGAACCCCCGTGTTGGGTGTAGGATTACTTAAAAAAATAAAATCTGTTTTTTAAATGTTTATTTATTTTTGAGAGAGAGAGACAGAGCGTGAGTGGGAGAGGGACAAGAGAGAGAGGGAGACACAGAATCCGGAGCAGGCTCTGAGCTGTCAGCACAGAGCCCGACGTGGGGCTCGAACTCACGAAGTGAGAGATCATGACCTGAGCTGAAGTCGATGCCTAATTGACTGGGCCACCCAGGCGCCCCATATAATTTTAAAAATAAAACAAAAGTAAGAGCTCTCATTTAAGTAGATATTGTGCATTTGTGCTAAATGCTTTCATATGCATTTGTCTCATTTGATTCCCCCCAAATCCTCTGAGGTAGGTGGTAATAATAATTAATAATAACAATAATAGGTAGAAAGATCTTTTGCTGGGTACTCTCTAAGCACTTTACATATACAGTATTAACTAATTTAATCTCTGCGCCAGCCCCAAGAGATAGGTCTTCTAAATTCCTGTTTTGATAAATGAGGACCCTGAGGCCCAGCAAGGTTAAGAAACCTCTTGAGGAGTGAACAGCCAGGAAGCAGCAGAGGCAGACAGCCTGACTCCAGAACACACGCTCCCAATCCTGCACAACTTGGCCTCACCACCCTCACTTTCCAGAAAGGGAAACGGACGCTTAGGGAGGTTAAGTCACTGGAAGAAGCAGCGCCAGGAGTTAATTCTCTCCTGATGGATTCTGAAGCCTGTGCTCTTAAATGCCACGCCAAGTGCCGGCGGACATTTGGAGACTGAAATCACAGTGAAAGTCACAAGGGCTGGCCTGGTGGGAATGAAAACTCTCCTCATGCATTTTATCTCCCAGATCCTTCTGGGAACTGGAGATAACAGAGCCCCCATCCTCGGGGCGCTTATAGCCTTGTGAGGGATATTCCCTTCTGTGCTGTGCTCTGACGCAGGAAAAGCCAGGTCCTAAGCAGTAGCACAGACACCAGCCTAGACCAGGGTATCCGTGAAGCTTCCCAGCAGTTCTTGGTTCTCAGTGAGTCTCGAAGGGTGAGCAGGAAAGGTGGAGGCGGGAGGGGGTGCTCCCTTGAGAAAACTGGAGATTCCTCCTCCCTGGGTATTGGAGTCACGTTCAAAGGTAGCCTAAGCGCAGTTCCGTGTATTCTCCTCCAGTCATCCATTCATCCAACCCAGAGCCATAGAGAGCCTACTCTGTGCCAAGCCCTCCTCTTCTAGGCACTGGGAACACAGCAGAGGATAAAACAGGCAAATCATACCCCATCCTTACGCTATAGACGGGAGATAAAACAATACACAGGCAAGTAAAATAATCTGTGGAAGGGTGTCTGGCATATTTAAGGAACAGCAAGAACCACAGTGACTAAAGAGAAAAGTACAGGCTGTGAGGCTAGAGGAATAAAGGAAGGCCAGACGGCATGGGACCTGTGAGGACTCTGGCTTTCACTGGTGGGGAGATGGAAAATTGCAGGGCTCAGATCAATGCACACGGTCCTTTGTTCAATGGACAGTGACCAGGAAGCCTGTGGTTATCCTGCAGCAGGGTGGGGAGAATGGGGAAGGGGTGTGAGAGAAAGAACGTGAAGGAAAGGAGAGTACGGTATAATCACAAACAAATGTTTGGTCTTTGTCCCCATTTCCTGGCACACAGCTTCTAAAGCCCTGGGAATCGAGGAGAGAGAAGAGTGTCTTTTGTGGGGTAATGAGATGACTGGTGGCTGGGGGCCCCTAAAGAGCTTCACATGGGGGTTGGTCACCAGGAAGACCAAGGAAAGCCTGATTAGAGCCTGTGAGCTCTCAGCCCCGTCTCTGTCCTCCAGGATGGAAAGAGGGGCTGGCGGTTGAGTTAACCGCCAAACTGGCGATTTAATCAGTTGTGTCTGCGTAATGAAATCTCATAAAACCCTTGTGTAGTGGGGTTCAGAGGGTTTCTGAGTTGGTGAACGCGGATGCTGGGAGGGTGGTGGGCCTGGCGGGGGCGTGGGAGCTCCCCATACTTCCCCTCGGAAGCACATATGTTGCCCTGTTTGGTTCTCTCTAGGACAACTTGTCAGTGAGTACCTTCTCCTTTTTCATAGAGTAAATGGTGGACATGATCCCATTATATGGCTGCTGAATTCTGTCATTAAAACTTTAAAGAATTAATACATTTTAACACTTTATGTATATATATATGCACAAAAATGTTTATTTGAATTTTGAAAGGTTATGTAATATTATATTAGTAACATTTTAATTTTGAAGTTTATA